CAGCACGTGGGCGGTGTGAGCATCCCTCTGGCAGCTGAACTGCACCCAGAGAAGGGAATCGTGGCTAGAGGAGACCTAGATGGTACAGCAAGAAACAGAGGCTGGGCTGGCCAGACGAGACTGCTGGGGGCCAGCGTATAGCTCTCACAGAGTGTGAGATATTTGGGGTTTGGCAAACCCGAAGAAGCAGGCTGCCAAGTCCCACAGCTCCCTCTCCCCCTGGTGTATTTCAAAGGAAATTAAATCCACATGTTTCTGATTTGCTGACACTTCAGGCTCATCCAAAGGTGGTTTTGCAAGAGTGGTTTGGACACAAGGAGCCCAGAGAAACCCTAATTATTATTGTTATTTTTCATTTTGAAATGCAGACCTGTACACTTACATAATCCACGCCATTCCTACAAAATCAGACCCCAGTTTTGCCTTACCAAAACTTTTTGTCCCGGGCCCACCGGTGACAGGTCATTGAAGTCAACTGGAGAAGAGAAACGATGACTTTAACATCCAACCTAGAAATCCGCCTTGAAAATAGCACCTAAGAAATGCCAAGGCTGGCATTCAAAAGCAAAAGCACTGTATGGATTGGGTCTATGGATCTCATAATTTCCTTAGACTCTGGGCCAAGGGGCAAAAACCTAAATTCAAGATGGTAGGTCCTGGATGTGGGGTCTGAGGTGCAAGGATATGGAGCTCAGAACCTCAAGAGGAAGGAGCCATGACAAAAGTGTTCTCTAGAATGTTCTAAAATGACCAGCCGTATCTGCGAATGAAACTCTGACAAGCTGCGACCAAAATTCTGCTTCAGGGACAGATAATCTAATTATACACTTAGAAATAATTTCGCACTTTTGGATGTGACCTGTGACCTCCCCAAGCCCAGCCACATGCAAACAATTGGCCAGAGAGGTCAGGGACCAAAGAGCCCCCGTCTTCTGACCCAGGAGTGAACCGTTTCCATTCCTCCCATCCCTCACCCATTTAAAGCTTTTCCATTCACTTCAAGCGGCCTCCTCTCCTGCCATGAGTGAGTTCTCCCAACAGAAGCGGTGGCTTTGTCCTGGTGCATGGCAGTGTGCTCTACACACTCAATAAACGAGCATTGAAGGCTGAGAAAACGAATTGGAAAACAACCTCCCCCAGTCACTCTCTGCTCCTAGGTTGGACTTTTCAAGCTCCTGCTCCCCTGGTCCTCAAACCTTCACATTTGTTCTCCATTTCTCCTGCCCTTTTAAAATCCAGGTAGCAGCCCAGCGTTGTGCCTCACACCTATACTCCCAGCACTTTTGGGAGGCTGAGGTGGGTGGATCCCTTGAGCCCAGGAGTTTGAGACCAGCCTGGGCAACATGATGAAACCCTGTCTCTACAAAAAATACAAAAATTAGCCAGGCACAGTGGTGTGTGCCTGTGGTTCCAGCTACCTGGGAGGCTGAGATAGGAGGACCGCTTGAGCCTATGAAGGTCAAGGCTACAGTGAGTCATGACTGCATCACTGCACTCCAGCCTCTGGGCAACAGAATGAGATCCTGTCTCAAAACGAAGAAAACAAAATTTAGGTAGCCCTTTCTTCTCAGGTCTCAGCTGAGATGTCCCGTCCTAGGAAGGCTGCTTCTTTTTAGCCTGGCTTGGGATGCCTGCCCTCCACCCATATTGAGCTTCCCTCCCTTCCAGGTATGTGTACATAGATACATATTCACGTTTAGCTAATGAAGTACAAGGTCACCTGCACAGGCTGCCTGCCCACCAGACTGCTGGCCCCTTGAGCTCAGGAACCAGGGCCATCTCTGTCACCCTCTTCTCAGAGCTTGGCACCGAGGAGGTGGGAAATTGGTACTGGTCCTCTAACCGGCTTTGCTCCCTAACCCTGCAACCAGCCTTTGCCATCAAGACGGCTCATTTCTGTGAACTGTACAAACCTTGAGTCATTAGAGTCTCATCAGACGCTTCGAGACTAGTGCTCACGTGAGTTAGTTTGCTAGGGCCGCCGTGACAAAGTGCCAAAGGCAGGGTGGCTTAAACAACAGATGTTTATTGCTGAACAGTTCTGGAGGCCAGAAGTATGAGATTAAGGTGTTGGCAGGGTTTGTTCTGAGGGCTCTGGGAGAGAATCTGTTCCAGGCCCCTCCGTTAACTTCTGGGGGTCGCTGGCAATCCTCAGGTTCCTTGGCTTATACAAACATTGCCCCAGACTCTGCCTTCCACCTTCATATCGTGCCCCCCCTGCGACTGTGTCCAAAATTCCCCCCATTTTAAAAGCCACCAGTCATCCCGGATTAGGGCTCACCCTAATGGCCTCATCTTAACTGGATCATCTGCAAAGACCCCACTTCCAAATAAGGTCCCATTTGCAGATACTGGGGGTCAGGACTTCAACATCTTTGTTGAGGGAGACAAAATTCAACCTGTAACTCCTCAACCTTTAATACCACTCCTCCAGTAAAGAAAAAAAAATTTTAAACCAGCTTCAAATTCTCATTGAAATAAAGTAACCATTTAATTTATTGCCCAAACTGGAACATTTTTTGAGAATAAAAGAGAGTGCTACTGATAATTTTGTAGGGAAAACAGGCCGCCGAGTCTGGGCCACATGGCCACCCTCTGTGGCTACATTCATTTCTCAGCCCTTCCCATGCTAGGATGTGGTTTTATCTTCACTGCAAATCCCTCTTTGTTTGTGTTCCCCAGCAGGTCCAGTGTGTTTTATACACAGTCGCAGCGAAACCAAGGGATTAGCTGTATTCCGGCTGTAGTTAATTCACTGTTTCCAGCTAAATGCAAGCCCAATCTCAGCAATTAATGTGGCCAGATCAAATCAGGTTCTCTTTACACCTGTTCCCCTGCTTAATTAGGTTCTCATTTCCCAGGGGGGACTCAAAGGCACTGAGAACCGTTATCTCAACCCTGGATTAGGAAGGCAGCATCAGATCCCCAGACATCACCATCATGCACAGGCGATGTCCCTGAGACAGCTCCAGCCCTTGCGTGTCTTAGAAATGTGTCTTGACAACTGTGATGCCCCCAGCATGGCCGAGGGAACGATTCCCTTTTTTGTTAGAGACTTCCTTTCATGTCCTCCCAAGGGAAAGACGTGTTCCCAGCGGTGCTCCTTTCTGAGGTAATTGTTGGACAGGAGTCAGCCAGTTAAGCCTGCCCACCTAATTAACAGAGTCTGTTATGATTTATCAAAATAATGAGATAGGGAACAAAGATACTGCTTCACCCCCAACCCACCCGCCTGATATTTTGGCCTCTTTTCTTCCTTTTGGAAGATGACCCAATATTAATGAGAAATGAGTCACTTATTGTTGGGGTGCAAATAGAGAGATAAATGACATCAGTAATTAAGTCTCAAGCCCTCTTTGGTATAATGGAGCCATTTGTCAGGCAATATTATTCAATTAATTAATTCCATTAGGGCTACCACACTTCTCCAAACCCAGCCATTCAACTGTCAGCTCCGATCATTTGTATGATACAAAAATAGAATGGTTAATAAATGCATCATGAAACCCAAAAGAAAGTATTTTCGCCATCACAAGAAAGCTCACTAGAAGTGCGAGATTTGTGAACGTGTGAGGCGCTCACGGCCAGCCGCAAACCTCCTCCCATCGCGGACTGAAACGTATCTGGTTATTTCTCAGTTCAAATCTCTAGGAAGAAAAAGGGAGTTGGTCCAGCTCAGCTCATCTTCTTGTGCCCTATCAGTAACCAGGGAGAGGAAAGGAGCCGGGTGACATGAAATGGAACTGCGTAAGGGACAAGGGCAGGCAAATACAGTGGGAGGGAAGGTTTCCAGAACAGCAGCTCCCAGCCCATGTGCTCCCCATAGGTCTGCTTTCTTTCCTGTCTTGCCAAGTAGAGGAGAATCCTAACCTTGGTCTATGCCCATCCACCTCTCATTACTCACAACTCATGTTACTTTTGTCTCCAATGATGCCCATATTAATTAATAAATACACCTTCATTCTCTCTAATTACATTACTCTTTCTGTTCTCCTTTTCAACCCTTGCCAATTGGTCTCAGAATTCTTTACCTCCCTCCTAGTGGCAAATTTGCCTTCAGAATAAAGAAAGGTAACAGTCCAGAACCACAGTTAAGGAAAGTCTGCCTAAATGAATGAGTATCATCATATTCTAGAGAAAAGCCTGAAACGCCTTATGAATCTTGACATATCCCAATTTACCTCTTAATCCATCTCCAAATCAACCTTTTCCTTTGACCAGCAATATCAGCATACATAAAACACCATCTCCGTGTTTCACTTATTGTTCTGTTCTGCTTTGATTAGGTACTAATACTCCAGGAGCACTGGGATCTGCTCATTTTCATTGTGACGCAGCAGTATTTCAGCCAAGTTCGGAATTAAATATGCCTTTATGTGCTGGCATAAAAAGCTATCTACCATTCCTAGGAAAACAGCTTCTATTCCAAACAGCTGACTTCCAAAGTCCAGAACATAATCTATTTGTAAGCTGTGTGGTTGCCTACACAGTTCCAGCCCCTTTTCTCTCACCTCCCAGCTAATTAAGTAATCTTTTGTTTCCTGAGCCCATTCTGTGGACAGGAGTGTAAATCAATCAACAGTGAAGGCCTCCAAAGCCTGCAAGCGAGGATGAGCAGGAACATTGCCAAGGGCAATGGTTCCCAAACTTCAGCCAGCATCAGAGTCGCCTGGAAGATCTGTCACAACAGATTGCCAAAGATCTGGGGTGCAACCCAAGAACTGGCATTTCTAACCTTCCTCCTAGTGGAAAATTTGCCTTCAGAAAAAGATGGCCCAATCCAGGGAAGAACTAGGCCTAGGGTATATGGGATAGAGGTATGGGGAGGTAACTAGATGTTCAGAATCCTCAGCAGCCACCCCCATAACCTAGCTGGTCCAAAACCCACCCTCCCCTGGGACGGATCATGACAGAGTAAACAGCCTTCGTTGGTCTCCTCTGCCTTAATCTGTAGGCAGAGATTACACCCTAGCTGAGATCAACAATTGCCTTGGAATAGGTCAACATCATGTGCCATTTTATCATTAAACCTACAAATGGTACAGACAACTCACAAGATTTGGGGATTTCTGAATGTTTGTGAAAATATTTTGTTTTCTTTGCTGCTTCTTGTTGATGTCACACATACCCAAAGACATTCCACGAGTTTAATAAGGCTTGGGCATCTTCTCCCACTGTTCTTCGTGGAAGACTCAGATTCTCATCCATTTCAGAGATGGATGGGGGACCTTGACGGTTTTAATTCTGTGCACCATGATTGCAAGGGTCATCTGGTCCAGCATTTCCCAAACTTCTCTTGAGTCCCATTCACAGAGATATGCAATCCAACCAATCCCTTAGCAGTTTGTGTTCCTGTCTTCACGTTGGTGTGTCGTTTTAGTGTCTTGGCCTGGGTTCCTCTCAGAAGGCACGGCCTGCAACAAGGGCTTTGTAAAGGAAGATTGGTTTGGAGAGTGATCTCAGCAGACAGGAGTCGGGGCCTGAGGGTGTGAAGCAGGAAAGAAGGGAAAGAAGGTGGTGACCTGATCCATCTCATCTGGGAGGATTCTCTGAATTTGCAGCCTAGGGGAAGAAAAAAGGGAGCACTGATTTACAGACTCCCATTCCCTTTTGGCCAAGAGTTTCCTCATAGAGTGTTGACTGCCTTATACTTCCAAGTTGCACAAGACTCAATACCAGGATACTGTATCAGAGAGGCCCAGGGCAGAAAGGGAGATACACAGTGCAGCTGAAACAAGGCACCTGCTGGTTATACCTGTTTTAAGCTGGCTGCCCCAGCAATGGCTGGTGTGGAAGATGGGTCAGAAGGTGAGAGATATACACAGCAGATGTCCAGTATAGTGTGTATGCAAAAGTAGAAAATGATAGTCAAAATATTTTCTATTTCATCAACATAAATTTCATGTTAGCTATAATCTTTAATCAGTATATTTAAACTTTTAATCAAATGTGGAGATTAACATCAAGTTTCAAGAGTGTGTGGCTAAAACCCATAAATCTTACGATGTGCCTACATGCCTCATTTCTAGAACCTTCTACCATTTCTGTGTCCACAAGATCCAGGAAACAGTGACTACACAATACATTTTAAGATAACCATTTCTGGGCCACCAGACACAAGGAGGATGTCAATAAAAGAGTTATTTTGTGTCAGTTGTTGGGTGCTCAGATTAAAATAAAAATTGAAATTAACCAGGAATTGAGGCATCAAAAATTGCTTTCATGACCTCATGTCTGAAATTCTTATATTTTGTGCTTAAAGTATCAGCTAGCTGCTATTTGTAATCACTTCTTTACAACCATTTGTTCTCTATAAATGAAAACCAAAATTAGACATAACAGTCCCTGTCTTTTTTTTTTTCTGTAACACTGGGTTTCTGAGGTCCAGGGGCAGACTTTGACGAGACAAAGGCCATCTTCAGATAAAGTGAAGATTATCATGAGGCAATTTACTGAATTATTAACATGAATTTCAACATCTGTGTTGCTAATGCTTCTAGACTTTAACAAATGAACCATTCAGGATATGGGCCAAAGAACATATGGCTAAGAATAAAGACCATTTGAAACCGCACAGGAGTTAGCATCTTTGGGGGCTCAGCACACAGTGAAATTGACTGAGGCCAAATCACGAGCATGCTCAGTTGAGCAGCCCCTACTGCCGCGCATGCGTACATGGGACGCACTCAGGGGCTCTGGAATCATTCTGAGATGAAGCAGGGAGGTATTTAAATATTTCGTAAAAAATGTTTTATCATTTGAAATTTTCAAAAATATGCAAAAGTACAGAAAGTAGTATAATGAGCCCTCAAATATCTCACCCAGCTCAAACAACTATCATGGCTAATCTTCAATACTTTTTAAAAAAAATTTAATCAGGCATCCGTTTTGCTCCTAAAGACAGGAAACCCGGGAAGATTTTCATGACCCTCTGAGGGTTTGTGACCTGCTGTCTCTTTGGTTCACTGACCTTATTCAATCCTCTCTTTATACAAGGGAATGCTATGCTTCTCCCATTCTCTGGCTATTTCTCATGCTCGTAGCAAATTAAGTGGACTCTGTCTATGATTTCAGCAACGGTGACATATAATCCCAGTGTTAAATGATGGAATTTTCCAATGCACAAGCAGCAGAAAGTGAACAGAGGAAACATTGCCATGAGCAGAGGCTCCTCAACACAGTATCTCCGACTGTGCTACAAAGCCACCCAGCGTGTGGATGAAAAGTGAAAAAAAATCTGACAATTGAGTGATTGTTCTCTCTCTACAAGCAATCCTACTATTTCTAACCCTTCCATGGGCTGCACTGGCAGCATGCAGACATTGCCTAGGTCTTCCTGCAGGGGCCGGCGAGCCCGTTGTTTTCCAACAGACCAAGATCTGACACCAGGATTGCAGTCATCAGAACCTTTCCCCCACCTCCCCCGACACCGAAACGAAGAGGGAGCTGAGCAGGGCAGCCACTCACCTTGTCTCATTTGTTCACAAAGAATCCAAAGCCAGCAACATGGATCAGCTTCTTGCTTTTTGTCCAACTACTTGCCTACAACTCTAGAAAAACAACAGAGGTCTGCCAAGAATCTGCAGTCCCTTCAATCTCAAAATAATGACTAGCCTATCCAGTGTTTCCATCCAAGGAATTGTTGGTTCCTACACAAGAAAACCCTTTGGGGGGTGAGAGTCAGGAGTCCAAGAAAGGCATGTGGTTATTTTAGCCCCTTTCTGGACCCCATCTGCACTTTGGAAAGAAAGGAAAATCTATTTTTGACATTGGCTATTCAGCTTTCAAATAACATCAGCCGTTAAGGCATATCTAATTTAAATGCTGATTCAAAGTTTTGCTTAACATTAAGGCGACTTTTTGGTCTCCTTCTGCTTCCTCCTGCCTCAAGCACAAACACAGCTTCACATTCACATTCTGTTTTCTTGGCAAATATGAGCTACAGTTTTGGAATACGTTAAAGAATTAATGCCTCCATTGTCATATGACAACTTCCATCTTTTTAAAAATAATAATATACCACAGTGATCAAGTGGAAAGCTTCATTTTTTCATTCAGATTACAGCACTTGTAAGACTGGCCACTGCATTCAATACAATTTGTCATTGAAGAAGGAATTATGTGGTCATGAGACATGAGAGGAAAATGAAATACAGCAGGGTTGGGGAAGGGAGAGCATTAGGATAAACAGCTAATGCATGTGGGGCTTAATACTTAGGTGATGGGTTGATACATGCAACAAACCACCATTGGCACATGTTTACCTGTGTAAGGAATCTGCACGCCCTGTACATGTATCCCTGAACTTAAAAATTCAGTTAAATTAAATTTTTAAAAAAGAAAAAGAAAATGAAACACAACAGGGTCAGGGGGAAAGAATGGAAAGGACATGGTAGTTTTGGAATATTACGTTAGGCACAGGAGTCGTTACACATCAACCTTGAGACTAAAAAGGCAGGGAACAAACATGAAGTTCACTGGGACTTTGCAAAAACTAAGAAGCATTGTAGTGTCAGTGACAACGCCACATCTGCATCCAGCCTCCAGAGTGGCTTCCCCTCACCGCTCCTTGCTTGAAGAGAAAGCCAAGAATTTGCATTTCATTGTTTTAAAGAGAAAAAACAAACAAACTAGACTTCTAATAGCCATGAAAGCATTTGCAATCCAGAGTTCAGCTTGTCATTTAGTTAAAACAGAAAGCCGCGCTATTTTACCAAAATGATTCCTAACATGAAAGGATGGAGTTGTTTTTGCCTTTAACTCATTTCAAAGGCAAAGAAAATTGCTCTTCTTCAAAGCCTTTGGTTGGAATTGTTCATCCAAAATAAAATAAAGTTAGAAAAACAGAGCAGCTCGCCCTGCCCTCATCCCTGCTTAGTAAACACCCACCTTCTCCCAGCTGGAACCTTTGCTGGACGCTTGGTTGTGCCACTACCTGATCTTCTAGCTGTCGATGGACACTTCTTACCCCTGATAGCTACCCTGACCTATCAATTGAGGCCCCTGAAGGACTTCAAGTAGGTGTTTAACTGGTGGTGTTGAGTAGCTGCATTTAAGAATTATAAGACTTTAGTTGTACTATTGAATTAATCTCTTTTTATGAAAATAAGAGAGATGAGAGCCAAAGAAAATAAAAGCCACAGTGGATGGTTAAGTATCAGACTTCATTAGACATGGAAATAGTAATAAAAATATTAAACTACAAGGAAACTTGAGTTAGAATCCCCATAGGGGGACGAACTGTACTAGTATGCTGGCGTCTGCCCATTATAGGACTTCAAGGCTCATATCCCGTGAAACCCCTCAGTCCTGGGCAAACCTAGGGACAGGTGATCGCCCTACAGGCTGCCAGTGACTCTTAGAGACAAACATCCAAGTGTTGACTTAGTTGGAAATCAGAAGGCTCATCACAAATGCTCATGTACATCCTGTACCCGCCTCACTGTGAGGCTCCATCTCAGCCTCCTGTTTATTTCCTTCCTTGCACTTAAAATAACATGAACATTGTCCTGTTTATTCCTTTATTGTCTGTTCTCCTTACTCAGTGTGAGCTCCATGTGGGCAGGGGAGTCAGCCTGTTTCCCACTGAAGCCCTAGAACATTCCCCAGCAGACAAAGGATGTCCAAAAAACGTGTCATAAGTGCAGAACTCTCCCTACCAAATTACTGAATTGGACAGAATTACTGTATTCTATGGATCTTAAGAGGCACAGTTTTTCACAGGCTAACATCGCTGAGATCCAGATGCATCTTAATCAGTAGCATCTTTCAAAAGCCATCGGCCATGTGCATCCACCCACCTGTAGCTGTTCACATTGTCACCACTTTGATTGAGATCTGTGCATTTGTTAGTTTAACCTGAGTTTAACTGCTGTGTAGGAATCTCCCCAAAGAAATTTCACTATGATTCAGCACTGAAATAACAAACTATTTTGTAGTCAGAAAGGTACAGAAACCAAGCAGTAGGATGCAAAGGTGGTATTAGTGAACGACATTTATCACAGAAGGAATGATCATGAGTCCATATTTTCTGGCAAAGAAACAACCAACGGCACCAGAAACCTCGCAAAGGAAGATACCCACCAGTGGGACACGCTGCGTTACTTTCTATTGCCGAGTTATTTGTTTCATTGCCAAATCTCTAGAAGAGATGAAGATTAATTTAAAAGGAATCTGATGTCATTGATTCATATGTCATTCAGGACTGTCATTAAAGGCATCTGTCACAGTGTGTTGGCAGTGTTTTTCCTCTCCTATTGGTATATAAAATAATGGCTGGTCTTACCATCAAGGCATTGTAGACTGGACTTGATGAAATAGGATACTGTAGGTTTTCCCAATCTTTTATTCAGGTCTATGAAACAGACTGCCCAGAGACCATCAAGGAGATTGCTGGCACATGGCAGGGTCAGTAGTGTAGCAACTCATTCGGTCTCTACAACTTTCCCAGAACCTTCTGGTGACTGAGTTTTCTATGGGTCCCTATTCCTGGTGAGGGATGAGACAAAGGGCCTCTGGCTCTAATACCAACTATAATTTTCGAGTCCCCATACATTTCCCATGTTGCCCCCTCATGCCAAGCACTCTGTTGAGCTAGCCTAGTCCTGCCTCTCACCCTGGACTCCCTGCAATGCTGAATGATGGCCATTTGCAAGGCCTCATTATTATCTCAGCACTGCCCACCAAGTCCTATCATATGTTAGTGTATGATAAATCTCAAACACTAATTCCAACGTGTACATCATTGGCAGTTATCTACCATCTTTGATGATAGTAGCTGCATAATTCTGGAGAAGGGATTTGTGTATCTAATTGTGTTGCTTCAACAAGAGAGAAGCAGGAGAAATGCTCAGAAATGGTGCAGGTAGAACCACACAAGACAAAACCTGGTCAGTAACCCATACAGAAGCGTACAGTTAGGAGAGTCATTAGAGAGAGTGCAGCCCACAGTTATCAACAGTGATCACGTGTTGGATTAAACAAAATGTGCCCATTTTTCTTAACGTTTTTAGAGCCTCTCAATGCATTTTTGGATGTTGAAATCATTTCATAGTTTGTTCATTCATTTATTTTTTTGTTCGCCAGATAACTGAGTGCCCACACTATGCCAATTTACTCTGCTAGGCATGAGGCATAGAAGAATGAACAAAAAAGATACAATTCCTACACAGCATATAGCATACAGCAGGCTTTTTACTTGGGGCACATAGACCCTCCCTCCCAGTGGTTCATAATTAGAACGCAGAGGTCTAAGGAATTTAGATGGGAAGAAATTACAACATTGTCTTCACTAACCTCTCACTGCTAGAAATCATTGATTTCTTCTCTGTCACTTGTTTCACCTTTTTGAGAATTTTATATAAAGTGTATCATTCAGTATGTACAACGTTTGAGATTGGCTCCTTTTACTCAGCACGATACCTTTGAGATTCATCCAAGTTGTTGGGTGTGTCAATAGTTCATTCCTTTTTATTGCTAAATTAAGTAGTATTCCATTGTAGAAACATACCACAGGTTACTTACCCATCGACCCACTGAAAGACATTGGGTTGTTTTCTGTTATTAGTTATAATGAATACAGCTGCTATAGACATTCATGCATAGGATTTGTTTGAATACAAGTTTTCAGTTCACTTGGGATTTCTGAGTCATATGTTAATTGTGTGTAGCTTTATAAGAAACTGCAAAGTAGGGCCAGCCACAATAGCTCACACCTATAATCCCAGCACTTTGGAAGATTCAGGCAGGAGGACAGCTTGAGGCCAGGAGTTCAAGACCAGCCCAGGCAACCTGGATCCTGTCTCTCCAAAAAATACTAAAAATTAGTCAAGCGTGGTGGTGCCCACCTGTAGTCCTAGCTACTCAGAAGGCTGAAGCAGGACGATCCTAGAGTGGCTGTACAATCTTGCATTCCCATTGGCAGTGTATGAGAAATCCAATTGCTTTGCATTATTGTGAGCACTTAGTATTGTCAATATTTTTTACTTTTGCCATTCAATAGGTGTGTCTCATTCCATAGGTTATATCTCATCAGGGTTTTAGCTGGCATTTCCCTAAAAGTCAATATTATTGACTATCTCTTTGTATACTTATGTATTAACGGATATTTGCTAATATTTTGTTGAGAATTGTTGCATCTATGTTCATGAGGGATATTGTTTTGTACTTTTTGTAACATCTGTCTGGTTCCAGTACCAGGGTAATGTTGGCCTTATAAAATGAGTTAAGAAGTGTTCCCTCCTCTTCTAGTTTCTGGAAGAGATTATGTACAATTCATTTTATTTTTAGAAAATATTTGGTAGAACTTGTCATATTTCTTTTTTAAATATTTGGTAGCATATGCTATATGGTGTGTGCTAGAATCTTGGCCTGAAGAATCCTTTTATAGAAGGTTTTAAAATACAAGCTCAATTTTTAAAATACTAATAGTGCTATTTAAGTTATCTACATGTCATCTTGAATGAATTTTGGTAATTTGTGTCTTTTGCAGAATTCATCCATTTTATCTAAATGGTCAAATTTATGAGCAGGGTGTGTAGTGATAACCCTTTTTTCATTCCTGATATCAGTAAGTTGTGTTCTATCTTTCCCTCTGTCAGTCTCACCAGAGGTTTATTGAACTCCTCATTATTTTTCTCTATTGTTTTTGAAATTGTTTTCATTTTTTAAATTTATATACTTAGTTTTATTACTTCCTTTCTTTTGCTTATTTTGAGTTTATTTTGCTCTTCTTTCTCTAATTTCTTGTGGAAGCAGCTTAGATTATTGGTTTGATACCTTTCTCTTTTCTAATACAAATGCATTGTAATGATGAAATTTCCATCTAACCACTGCTTTAACTGCATCCCACAAATTTTGATATATTTTTATATTCATTTAGTTCAAAATATTTTCTAACTTCCCTGAGACTTCCTCTTTGACCTGTAGATTATGTACAAGTGTGTTGTTTAATTTCTAAGGGTTCGTAAATTTTCTTATCATTCTGTTTTTTATACTTTATATGATTTAAATTCTTTAAATGTGTGACAAATTTGTTTTATGGCCCCAGATATGGTTTACTTTGGTGAAAGTTCCATGTGAAATTGAGAAAAATGTGTATTCTGCTGTTATTGAGTGGAGTATTCTATAAATGTCAATTAGAAACAATTGTTTATCATTTAGTTCCATTTTCTAT